CAGCAGTTAAACAACTTGTACCCAGAGAGAAAAGACTGGGAAAACAGGAGGACTAGCAGAAATCTCAAAGAATAGAAGAGCAGAAACACTGGCTCTGAAACCACTTGATGATGCCATGTATTACTTGCTTCACTGTAGCTCAGTTCTTGAGCCACGCTGCAGTTCCATCCAATGAGGACAGGTACACTGGAATAAACATCTATCTTAATTAGGAGATTTAAAAAGTCATTCTTTTCCAAGTGATCCATGTTTGCTCAGAAGTGACTAGCACTGCGGTCATCTAGAGATATGGATGTACTACACTTTGATCCATTAAGCCATGATGCATTCTCATCATCAGTAATTAGACTTCCTGTTACGAGTGTCTGTTACAGTGCCAGAATGCTCTGTGCTTTTCCAGTAGCTGCTGGTATCTCGTTACTGTGATGCCTGTGAGATACTTGCAGTAGGTATTTCATCCTGTTTTATGGCAGTGATGTCTTGCCATTCTTCTGGCGTTGCTGCTGGCCGGTTAAAAAAATGCATCTATGTTTTTCTAGGATCTCGTTCATTGACTTGGCCGGCAGCGAGAGGGCAGCTGATGCCAGAGACTCAGACCGACAGACAAAAATGGAAGGAGCAGAAATAAACCAAAGTCTTTTAGCTGTAAGTTATTAACGTTTATGGAGAAACTTTTTTTGTAATTATTACCATATATTCTCACATAAACATGCCCCAAAATAAAACATGCATTTTTGTTTTCCAAAAGTGGAATGAAGAAAAAAGGGTTTTTCCTTAAAAACCACTGGGTTGAAGGGGTGAGGATGGAAAAGAAAGTATCCCAAGCCAACAGCTAAGGAGCACATGCAGCTTTACTTCCTGGTTCCTCTGACAGAGTCTTAAGCAGCAGAAACTGCTGCTACCACATGTCCTCAATTATAATGCACACCCCAATTTCCAGCAGCTGGGTTTGGGGGCAAGTTCCATGTTGTATCTGAGAAAACACAGTATTTTAGCTTGTTTTTTAGGCTGAGTAGTAGAAAAGCAGAGTAATCTGTAGACAGATTCTAGTAGAAAACGATAGTACTAAGAGCTGACAATTAAATTGCCTTCCAGCCATGTTAAATTAATGAGGAAAAGAATTTTATGGGATGAGAAACCATTATTTTTTAAGTACATGCTCATAACCAGGTAAACGTGGTACAGAAAGTGTTCAGTATTGTGTAGTAAGTTCTTATTCCATTTGATGCTTTTTCCTATCATGGGCTATTTGCATGAAATTGGGATGTTTTGTTTTTAAAAATGTGTTTGCTCGTGATGCTTATTTTCCTACTTGAACTCAGGCTTTTCTGATGTCACAAAGGAAAGATGTGTAAGAAGAACCCTAGGATTTAGCAGTTCAAGTGGGGGTAAGAAAAAGGAGTAGGAGGAGATGAATGCTTCAAAATAAGTAGCTTTACACTGAGATGCACATAGCAATAAAATGATGGAAGACGTGGAGGGAAATACAGACAACGCCACAGCAAATCAAATTGAATTTTCTCTGGATTTGGAAGCCGTGCAGAAGGGACCCACTGCCTTACTCCAGATTAACAGAGCCCCATTGATGACTGATGCTTTTTCCAGACAGGGAAATGAGTGTGTATTCTCCACAGACTTTCCAAGGGAACTCTCTCAGTGTGCTCTAGGTGTGAAACAGCTTTCTCTACTTTGAAAGCAGTGCAAACCACCTTGCAAAAGATTGTGCGTGCATGGAGGGTTCGCATAGAGTTAGTGCAGAGTAGCTCGTGTGCCCAAAACTGACACCCTGGATTACTGCACACGTCAGCATTTTGACAAGCCCCAAGTACATTCCAGTCTAGTGATTAACTCAGGGGATGTCTGAAGTCTAAGACAGCCTCCATTGGCAACCTTACTGTGCAACCTTGGCGACCATAGTTTTTTGTCCCAGGGCACCCACCTGCACTGGGGGCTGCCTCTCTCTTTTTCAGAGTTGAGAGGCTTAATGCTGGTTTGTAAAAACTCTGAAAGACATGTTAGAATTGCAGAATACATGCTGTCATTACGGCAGTGGCCTGAGCACTAGTTGTGTGCACATAAGTGTAGTCTAGCATCCAGTAACAATACTTGGACCAACCTCCGAGAGTTTACTACGCTAACTATCGATAAAAAACATTAAAACTGAAGTGAATGGCACAGAAGTCAGGCAAGGCTTCAGCCAGCATTCCTAAAACCACTCTATCCCCATTTAGTTGAATAAACAGCAAACTGTATTTTACACTTCACATCACTTGTCTGGTAGACCTTATTGTAATGCACAAACACAGCGTCTTTATTTTATCACCTCATAGCAAAATTATGGCTCTGAAAACCAGAAATGGTTCGAGTCATCCCTGACTGTCTTTAAGAAGTCTAAATGGATTTCCATCACACTTTCCAGAAAAAAAAAACTTCCTTCAGGGCTGCGAATGAGTAGGAGACTCATCATGGCAAAAGGAAAGGCCATGGAGACATTTATAGGCACCTTACAATAGGCACTTAGAGAGACGGGCAGCATGACTGTAGTGAATTTCAAAACTGTAAGTGAAAGGTGATTTCCTGCTAAAAGCAGTAAAGCCTGCCTGTGAATCTCCTACCAGCTCTTGCAGCTTTACAATCACATTTTTTTCAAAATATTTTTCTTTCCCTTCTTGCTGTGTGAACAGGCTCTAGAAATGAGGGGAAATGAACTAAACCTGGCAAAAGGAAAAATGAATTAAATACTCTGTGCGTTCCACAGCTATTTGGATCCAGAGTCAGAGAAGTTTTCCCTCTCTAACCATCCCTGCCAGCAGGGATTGCAGAAACCTGCTGCTGAACCCCCCCAAATTCAGGGATTTTTTTTTTTTTTAATCCCCAAGAGAAAGAAGGACCACACACTTTTTAACGGTAAGGCAGTTAGCTAGTGAAACAATGTACTTGTAAACGGGTTCTTCATGCATTGGCGTTTTGCAGTCAAGGCGGGACATCTTTCCAAAATATACCTTGTAGCTCCAGAAGAGGTGATGGGATTGCTGAAGTTGTTGGATGAGTTTCTCACCTATGTTGCCATGACTGCTTACGACTGCAGTATAGTCACTGCCGTGACTGCAGTACATTTAGATGCATCTGAACTAGCTCTAAACTAGCTTGCTCAAGTAATGCTTGCAGTGTACCAAAGCAGCATAGAGCTAAACCCAGATAGCAAAGCCCCCCAGAAGCTGGGTGGTCAGTCCTCACCAAGCTCCATACTGCCCTGGCCATGCTGTTAGCCGTATCTGAGTTGGCTTAAGGGCTCACACAGACTGCTTGTGTACATCAATACAGGCAGCTTTTATACTGGCTTAAACAAGGAGCAGACAGACCATATAACTGCCTATCCCAGGGTAACTCTCAGGGTAGAATTATCCTAGGAAAATCTGGGGTAAAACTGCATCTGTGTACATTGTAGTGATGTAGGTGTTGTGTGTGTGCTTCCATCCTGGAGCAGCTGTTTGCTCCGAGGTGAACTCTTATCACCTAGAAGGCAAGGCACTGTAATACTGCCTACTGGTAGCAGCTGGCCCAGATGAACTGCTTGGCTATATTCTCTGGAGCCCATTTATTTCATACTGATATACAAACCCAATGTTAGATTGGCACAACAGTGTCATCTGTCCAGGACATAAAGCTAGCTTGGGTACATCTGTGCAGGCTTCAGGTAATCTCAGTGGTCCATGATGGTTTAGTCAGGGATGATCCTACACTGAGCAGAGGGCTGGAAGGGGCCTCATAAGCCCTCTGGACTGGGTAACCTCATGAGGTCGCTTCCAGCCCTATTTTCCTACGTAGGTCATCCTACGACCCAATGAAAAATCTGTGAATAGTGAAGTTTGATAGGGATTTCACTATGCCTCTTGATTTTTATATGGAAGATTTCAGGCACTATGGTTATGGGCAGTAGTCTAAAACCATAGCATAAATAGGCAGTCTTTCAGCTAAAGTCCTTTTAAGGGTATTTTCTAACAGAATTTAGAAAACTCCAAATTAAGAAAACAGTGTGATTTTTAAACTGGACACTGTCCCATTCACTGTGGAAATCTCAAGTTATTGTCAGTATTACAGGGCTGTAATCTGCCTAATGATACCTACTCTCCATGTAGTTGCTCTAATAATGGCTTGCGTCAATGGGCGCACAGTCCATTTCCCCCGGTTGTAGAAAGCATTAAAGTCTGCTCTGGAGCATGACACTCTTCTGTTTGTGCTGGTAAAGGCACGGGACAAAGACATGCACTTTTTAATGTCTGAAATTGTCAGCCTTTTAATAGGCAAGCAGTAAATCAGGAGGGAAATGTTTCTCCAGGATTATGTGCTGTTCTTCCCAAGAATGATTAACAAGAAATAGATAATGGGTATATTTTCAGGAAAGCAGAGTTGCATTTAGCTGTTCATGTCTCATTAATCTTAATGGAAGGTCTGTGGTTACGTCCCCACCCACTGTGCTGAAACAGTAGCCCCGCTGCTTCGCTTGTGGCATTTTTGTGTATGCCGTTAATCTGTCAAATGGACTTTTGGCACAACGGGCTGGTGAAATGCTCACTCAGACTAACTGACTTGAAAATGGCAATCATAGATGAACAGCTGTGGCTCATCCATGGATTTCGGAGCCAGTAGCTTTCCATGCTCTTGAGAATGAGGAAGCACAGGCCACTGATGTCTTTTGGGGATGCACAGACGGTACGGGCTTCAGGGCCAGCACTTTTCACCATTACTTTCACTTGTATGTTTATTTGTTTCCTTAAAGTCCCGACTCCTTGAGTGCTGAGTTTAGGGCTTCACTTCCCATCAAAGAAGAGACTTGCTTTTCTCTTACCTTATCTTTCCCATTTGTTTCCTCCACTGTGGCATCTGGTCATAATCTAGATTATAAAATGGGCATGGGTTGTCATCCCTGCACATCTGCATAGTCTGTCATATAACAGATGTGTGATCCTTGGCTGGTGCCCCTTCAGGCTGCCCCACTAGAAATAATACTATTGTTTTTCTTTAAAAAGCAATGATCAACCTTTCAGTGCAGAAGGACTTTAAAGCCAGGCGCTAACTTGAACATTTAACACTGCCAGCAGCAATGCTACTCTAGAAATACTTATCTTGAGAAAGTCCTGTTGTCTTTGGATTGCCTGAAGACTTGCAGGGCAGCTTTTTCCATCTGCAGTTTGGGTCCGTGGCGGCTTCGCAGCAGCCCCAGGTGTTTGTGTTGTGTGCGCACAGAAAAGGATGACCTGATAGTAAAACAAGAGCATACGTATGTGACAGGGTTCTTCCTGCTTGCAGCTGGGGACCATCAGAAATGTGCATTCTGTTTTCGGGGTGGTTCATGAATACTGGTGGCTGCATGGAGAACCGTTCCGATTGACTGGTGGGTCCTCTCGAGCGGGGGGGTGAAAACGTTGGCAGAGGGCAGGAGAGTTTCATTCACACAGCTCGCAATGTCAGCAGTAGTCTGTTGTGCACTTCCTGTGATTGTCCTGTGCTAAGCGGCTGTCCACTTGTGTAGCAGCTGCCGGATCATGCTCTCCTTCTGTGCTCATTTTTCTTTCTCTATTGCAGTTGAAGGAGTGCATTCGGGCTCTGGATCAGGAACACGCACATACTCCTTTCAGGCAAAGCAAATTGACTCAGGTAAACCAAAGCCAAGGCAGTAGTGGGTACTACCCCTAAGAAGAGCTGAAATAGAAGTAGTAAAGTAGAATAATCCTGACTTTAATGACTTAATATTGATAACCCTTTGGGGAAGGGCACATGCTTTCCAAGCATGTGTTTAGATGGTAGTCTGAGGAAAGGCCAGTTTTCATGGTACTAATGCCAGCTGGAAACAAATGTGCATGTGATCACTCCGTAGGAAATGTTATGGTCAGAGTTTACTAAATCTCAGAATAAACTGCTCTTGTTCCCGTGTGAACTCCTGTGACGAGCTGTGTGGACCAGCCGTCCTCAGCAGTTCCCATTGCAGCCATCCACTTAAGACTCTTGACTGTTGGTTACCTTCCCATTGTCTCGCAGTGATCTTGCCCCTGGCATGCAGTAGCCATCGTGCATGTTTTGATTAACAGTGCTTTACTTTAAGGACCGGTTTCTGCTGAGAAGCACACACTGCCCAACACATGCCAAAGCCCTGATATTAGGCAATGCAGGTGGTTAGCAGAGCGCATAGTGCATGCCAAGAAGAGCACCTGAGACAGAGCTGGAGAGCAGTTCTGGGCATGTGCTAAGGGCTACATCCAACCAACTCCACTGCCTAATTTCCATCTGAATGGGACAGTCTTATAGTTTCATAGTAGCTAGGGTCAGGAGGGACCTGAACAGATCATCTAGCCTGACCCCCTGCCACAGGCAGGAATGAATGCTGGGTTCACAAGACCCCAGACAGGTGATCATCCAACCTCCCCTTGAATCTGCCCAAGGTAGGGGCGAGGACCACTTCCCTGGGAGTCTTCTCAGCAGTACTCCTGGGCTCACTACAGTGATGTTAAAAGGCCCCCTAAGATTTAAACAATTTGGCTTGAGAGTTTAGAAGAAATACGCTGGCTACTAAGAAGGTGCATTTTTCCTTTCCCTGCAAGGTACTGAAGGATTCTTTCATTGGGAACTCCAAGACGTGTATGATAGCCAGCGTGTCACCTAGCCACATAGCAACAGAACATACCTTGAACACACTGCGGTATGCTGACAGGTGAGTAACTTGGATTATGTTTCCCAATTGGAGCACCCTAAAGGAATAATGGATGATACGTGTGTGTAATGAAATGGTTTTTGTTGGTTGCTGGTGCTAGTAAATGCCACAGGGTCTAAGAGCAAGAAATGCAGTTAACAGATAACAAACAACATCCTTGTCTGCTGCACTGCCATGTACTGGGTCACTTACATCACCGGGTCTCTTACATGATTGTTTCTGATGACAAACCATTTAGATCTCAACAGTGATCTGAAACCACTGTTGCAGTGATTAACATCTCATTGTATTTTTCATAAACCAGTAGGATTGATAAGCCCAGCATCCTGAAGAAACTCCACTTTTTTTTTTATTGTTGTTTGTGATGTGATTCTGTGTCGAGTGTGCTATTTGTGCCCATAGGCAAGAATTCTGGTAGGTGATTATCTTTTACTGGAGCAAGGTTGCATCTACATAAGACGCTGACTGTGCAGTTGTTATCTGCACAGCCATTTAGTACTTGCATACACAAGTACTAAATGACTGCACAGTCGTGTCACCGGGCAGCTTTTAGGTGATGTTGACTGTGCAGCAGCTCATTACTACTGCACGGTAGCGTCACATCACACTTCGTGCCACGTGATGCTACTGCGCAGTAGTACCGAGGTACTGCACAGGCAGCGTCTCGTGTAGACTCAGCCCAAGTGCATGGTTGGCATAGACATAATCAAGCTTTCTGATGTCACAGCACCCTCTCTCAGGCCCCCTATATGTGCCTGCACGCACAAATTATGAACTGCTCTGTACAAAGATCAAGAGAAAGAGCGACATAAAATGAAGGAAAAAGAAAGGATAATCAAAAAAAGCTCTTGATATCATTTATCACCAACTGCCTCACTGTGGGTTGTTAGCCTTCTTAGAAATTAAGGTAGAACTGGGTCTTGAAGAGGGATTTGGAGGAAAAGAAAAGCAGATACAATTCCTTTTCCTTTAAATTGGACAGAAGTGCTCTTCACTTCCTGTACTGTTACCACTCCCCGTTTAAGAAAGCTGATGCCAACCCCCACAGCAGTGCTGCATTTCATTAGCAGGTAATGTGCTACCTTTAATGGGTTAACTGAAGCACCACTGATCACACCGAATTTAATATTCACTTACTAAAATACGAGGTTGTGCTAAAATCACTGTAAATTATTACTTGAATGCCCTGAATGTTCCAACGCACCGTCCTCGCTTACAGGGTAAAGGAGCTGAAGAAGGGAATGAAGTGTTGTACCCCTGTCACAAGCAGACGTCGGACGGCCGGAAATCCGTCTCCCAAGCGCATCCAGAACTCGCCATCGGTGCAGGGTGGGGAGAAGAGCTCGCCAAAGAAGGTGAAGCTGGGACTCCAGCATCCTCTGACTTCTGTGAGGACAAAGGCGTGTGCTTCTGTGTTCCATGCAGCTGGCGTCCCTTTCTCCCCTACCCCCAAAGGAGCCAACAAAAGTCATACCCACAAAGCAAACGCCAGCTCACCATGGCTCCATCACCCCAGTCCAGTGAAAGGAATGCTCCCCACAGGACATCTCATGAAGAAAAAGATGGATCTGACACCGCTGTCGGAAAAGAACCATTTTGTGAAGGATTTTGTGGTCAAAACAGCTGGAACCCCAGAAGCAAAAGAAAGGAGCCAAGGAGATACCGGCATGCAAGATAAACAGCCAGTCAGATGCCTGAAAGTGCAGACAGTGCAACCTGTCCAGAAGCAACTCATTTCCAGAGAGGACTTTTCTCTTGGAGACATAAATCATCCATCAGACAGCAGTCAGAGCCCTGGAAATACATTCCTTAAGCAGTGCCTTGAAACCTGGACAGACCTTTCTCCGTACCAGAAAGGAAGGGAAGAACATTTGCGTCTTTACCACCAGCAGTTTCAGCAGCCACCGATTCTCCAGCAGAAGCTGAACTATCAACCGCTAGAAAGATTTTTAGCTCAATACAAACCCCAGGAAATTAGGGTTAAGCCAGAGCAGAGCCTGACACCCAGAGATGCACAGTGCAAAGATGGGATGCAGCTGGAAGAGCTGGACGACAGTGATTTTAGTGAGGACTCTTTTTCCCCAGTGTGTACCCAAGAGACAGCGAAAAACCCCAGCGACTGCAGGCAGCTTTCATTTTTCCTTCATCAGCGAGAACAAGGAGTGGAGGAAGAGCAGAAAGTCTGCAGGAAGCCTGGCTTATTCTTCAACCATGCAACACGTATGGAAGAGCATGAACTAGATGACAGCTGGGATTACAGCAAAGGCTCCTCATTTCCAAAGACAAAGGAGTCGATTAAAGACGCAGAAAAGAGGACGCAGTCTGACTGGAGCATAGAGGGTGACGTGACTATTGATTCTTCTCTGAGTGACCAGACTGCAGAAAAGCCTTATTGCTTGCATGAAGATCTTGTCTGGAGCTGGAAAGACAACACAGACTTGTCAGCTGATCACGGCCAGTACAGCTCCAAACAGAAATCTCAGGTTTCTCCTGGTGAAAGCTCCTTATTCCCAGATAAGGACACACAGTGTCCATGTGTGCCCTACCTATTGGACTCGGGGCCTGTAGGATGCAAAGAGATTGATCTTCACCCTGCACAAAGGGAAGACTCCATCAAAGGCAGACTGGCTCCTGTTGGAGGAAACGTAGAAGGGAAGAATCTGATAAATGCAGCTTCTAATACGTCGTCAGAATTCACGTCTGAGCTGATGGCCCCTCTGACCTTGTCTCTCCTTGACGATGAGGAGGCAGCTGATCCAGAGAACCACCTTCCTGCCCAGGAAGGGGCCATCCATGTGAAACAGATGCTGGAGACGAAAATCTGCAGCCCCAGAAAGAAATTGGAGGGAGAGGCCAGAGCATTTCTTAGAGATGAAACCTCTCCAGTAGGCAGCGTGCCTGATCTGGGGGAACAAATGTACCACCATGAAATGAAATGCGCTGAGCATCGTACCCTGCACACGGAGAACATGTGGCTTTCACAGGCCTGTCCTGAGCCACAGCCTTGCTGCGGCTTGGAAGATTCAGCCCTGCTGAATGCCTGTCACGGGTCTGTTAACGCTTTATTTCCTGGAGATGCAGACTTGACAGAAGACTCTGGATCTGGAGCCAGAGACCCCTGCGAAGAGAAGGAGGGTTTATTCTTTCTTAGTCATCTCAAGTGTGGCGAATACGTGAATAGCAGACACTATGAGGCTGATACTGAAGATGCACCCAGCAGCCTGTTGAACTGCCCAGGAAAACCCACCCTGGGTAAAGCAACAGGGGTTAGCCCCATGTCTCAGATTGTGTGTGTGGACACACCTGCAAAGGGCTGTTTTGCAAGCCCCCCACCCATTCCTAATGAAGAGAGTGGGGAGGGCACAGTCTATTCCCCTCCTCAAGAAACCAGCCCGCTCCAGCCCAGCTCAGAATTCAGGCCGAAGGACTTCAGCCGTGCTGAAGACATGTTCAAGTTGTCATTCAGTGGCGAGGAGTTGGGGCTGCTTCAGAATAAACTGGTGCAAAGTCTTTTTCCACAAAGCAGCTTTGATGCTGCAGAAGTTACCAAAGAGATTAAATCCTTAGCAAATCCAAACAGTCCCCCGAGCACCTCCATCCTCAGAGACCCGACCGATACCTCAGAAACATCAGACCTGCCCATGGAAGTCCTGGGAGAAGCACAGTAAGTTTGTATTTACCCCTCTAGCTTGCATTGCACAGGTTACAGACACTGGATGAGCACACAGTGCCTTTGCCTAAGTATTTTTGTACAGTATTATAGGTACTTCCTAAACTCAGAGGGAGCCAGTTCTTCTGTTAGATGAAGTTGCATATTGAGGTCAGGTAAGTAGTGCCTCCCCACAGAAACAAATAGCAAACAGCAAGTCCAGCTAACCAGGGGTAAAGTCAAGTCCCTGATGCAGTGCTCCAGGATAGCAAAGGCTGAACAGTGTCCTCTCATTGCCAAACAGACACATAGCCAGCGCTCCAGGATCTGGCTCAGACCAAAGGCAGGACACAGCGGCACCTGACTAGACTGCCTAGTTCAGAGCGCCACACTCGAGAGTCCAGCTATGGCTCAGCTCGCATTGAGAGAAGCGGTATTTCTGTATAGGAGGAGGCTCACCTGCAGCATCCACACAGTATTGAAAGGGTGTGCCTGACTCTCCCCATCCCAGTTCATAACCTAAAGGTGATGTTGGCCTCCATTTTTTGCTCCTGGATTCCCACCTGGTCAAAGGCGCTATGGGCTGCCACACCATCTATTACTGGCCGAGAGACTGTGGCCACTGCTCCCAATACAGACCTCTTAGTCACCTCTGAGTTTGTTCCCTTCAGCCTAAACTACCGTGCTGCACTGTGCTTGGGGCTAGTTACTGCAGGAGGTGACTGCTGAGAGCTGCGGCCCTGTATAAATGCAGAGTTCATGTGCTGAAGTCTCTGCACCACCTTCTTGTTTGCTAGCGGGTGCAGTTCATGGGTCAGTGATCATCAGTTAAAGTCTTGGGTCCCAGACTGTTCTTCCCGTAATTTTCAGCACTGCAAAGATCAGTTAAACAGCACTTACAACTGAAGTACCCACCAGCTTAAACACCTCGGGTCAGCTCCTCAGCTGACAGAAACTGGCCTAGTTTAATTGAAGTCCAAGTTCTATCACTTTACACCCTCTGAAGATCTTGCCTCTGTATAGCCAGTGGCAGGGTCGTCTCAGCAGAGATGCCCTCTCTTTAGAGGACTGCCAGTGTCCAACAGCACACAGAGGGGGAGAACGAGCTGTGTAACCACAAGGACTTTCTGTTGTGTTGACCAGGCAGGCTGTGATCCGAGCCCATCGAGAGCAGCTGGATGAAATGGCGGCCCTGCGTCTGCAGGAAGAGTGCTTGCTCAGGCAGGTGGCAGCAGCAGTAAGTGTCCAGTGCTCGTGGAGCACGTGTAAATGTCTCCCAGCGACCCCCGTCACCAGCTCCTCCTCGGTCCAACTGCCGGTGCTCCCAGCGTCCGCCCTGCCCCTCCTGTTGCGCTTTTGCTGCTCTCCACCTTGCCAGGCCCTGGCCTTACCAGGGATCTCAGATCCATGTCTCCCAGGAAGCTTTGTCACTAGTGTCTGGGTTGCAATGTAGTCAGTAAAAGAAAATCAGTGCACCCATAAGACACAGGTGCTTCCTCATGCATGGATGGTGAATCCCTGGTGACTTCCTAATCACCTTCTTCTCCGCTAAGTGCTTAGAAATAGATTCCTTGAGGATCTGCTCCATGATTTTTCCAGGGACTGGGGTGAGGCTGACTGGTCTGTAGTTCCCTAGATCCTCTTTCTTCCCTTTCTTAAAGATGGGCATTATGTTTGCCCTTTTCCAAACATCTGGGACCGCTCCTGATCGCCATGGGTTTTCAAAGATGATGGCTTTTCAAGATCACACTTCATGTATTGTCAAAGCCAGTTTAATTCCAAATACAAATCGCAGGCACTGCTGCAGGGGGGTTTGCCTCAGGGGACTCAGGCTGGCAGCCACGACATGACAAGCCTGTCGTGTTTTCTAGTTGACAGCGCTGCGCTAAACTTGATGCTTTGTTCTTGAACAGTGCATCCGGGACGTTTGGGAAGGGGCAGAATAAGTCATCCAAGTACTCCGTTAGTTCAGCAAGCCTGCATTGATGGCAAAGGTGGACTAGAGGCATTGTGGCAGCCTTGGCTTTTGTAAAACTTAAGGTTTTATCCGCCTTTTCCATCCTCGGTGGAGAGGGACTTGAAATCTAGTCGTTTGCCCCTGAGTGGCAAGGAAGAATCTTTCCCTGGTATTATTGGAGAATTAAGATGTCATTTTTCCAACACAAACTTGCACAGTGCAAAGACGATTTGCCAAACAGGATGTCATCCGGAGCCTCCAGCGGCTCTGAGCTCACTTCGCAGAGCTGCAGCAGAGCGAGGTTAACAGGATGGGCTGGCGCTCCCTGCCGCAGGTCAGCAGGCTGAGGGGGCAGTAAAGCCCCTGGCAGACGTTACACTTCAGGCATCATTAGCCATGTCTTAAATAGCAACTTGACCACACGTTCGTGCAATAAAACAGGAAGTAAGCCACGTTATTAAACACATTTTGGGTAAGAACTTTATGGCTGGTTCCCATCATGCCTTAAATTGAATGTGTGGCCGGGTACCCGCTGATCAGGGCCCCCCGCCTCGGCGGCACATCAGACCCTTGGCTCCCATGTGCCCCCAAGGTTGGGAGCAGCAGTTCGCTGATCCGGGGTCTCAGGACTCTTGCAAAAAGTGCTTCGTTCCCCTTCAGGGTCAGGACCTCCCTAGGGAAATGCTGTTATGCTGGGACCAGGATGAGGAACCTGCATTCCCCGCCTGCTTCCGAACAGCAGCTCTTCTCCTCAGCACTCGCAGGCTAGGAGGATGAGGTTCCCCGTCCCCACTCCCCCTGTTCCCCAATGCTGACTGTGTTGATCTTTTTTCCTCCCTAGGATTTTGAAAACTTTGTGAGCAACCTGGATGAAATCCTGATTCTGAAATCCAAGTGCATCCAAAGCACGCGAGCCCAGCTTCAGCTCTACTTGGCCTGTCCCAGGGCCAACTCCACGCTGCAGAGAGCTACGTCATCTTAGCCCGCCTGCGGCTGCATCCATGCCAAGCTTTCAGCAGCTGTGGAAGCAAGCAGCTGTGGTTTCACCTGGGGGTGTCAGGTATCCTGCAGCAAACAGGGGGGCTGGGTTGGAGGTTGCTGTTTTGTTTAGTGTGTATTTGTAATGTGCACGGAGAGATTTGTAGGTAAATGAACGGTCTGAGGACCTGACGGAAGCCCAGAACGTTGTGTTTCTACATGGTGTCTTTGTAAGGTGAGACCACGTGCTTCAGAGCAATAACTCGGCAGCCTTGTAGCACGCAGCGCAGCAACAGGGTTCACGGAGAACGGGATTCACACCAGTCATTAAAGGCACTTCTGTGCTGCCAGAAAATAACACAGCAAGAAAAAGTGCTTTGAAAGCCTACAAGTCAGTGAAAAGAAAGAATCAAAAGCTTTCCAAGAAAACAGCATTGTCCAAGAAGGCGAGGAAATGGGAGGGAACAGCTGCTTGGAATAAATAAGCAGGCAAATTTTTAATAAAAATTGAGACAAGATGAGATTGGTTTGCATCCTTACTGCTTCTGGAGAGAGCTCAGTACTAACGCCCCTAAGGGCATTGCCAAGACAGACAAGTGATGGGTCAGCAGGTGGAGGTACAAGAGGACACGCACCAGAAGTTCTCTGGACAATCGCGTTGCTTTTCTGTCCGTGCCAGCTGCTCTAGAGGGTCTTCACTGACCAGCACACAGGGTGTCGATCTGTACCCTGCTGCAGCTCACTCTGCCGTGCCCCGTTGAGGTCAAACCTAGATGTCCAGAATTGATCAGATACAGCTGTGGGAAGCCTCCGATTCCTGAGAATTGGCTTTGGACGCCTGTTAGCACCCTTGGTCCCCAGCGCAGGCAGCAGGACCTAGAACAGCCAAGCTATCAACCACACCCCTGCAAATTCACTATGGATGGGGGGCCCGCCTGTATCCCGTTCACCAACTGCAAGCACATGCAACCAGCCAAAGCCATAAGTGACCTTAAAGAAGGTGCAGCTAAGATCAGGTGCTTGAGGAGCAATCACATTCAGCTCTGTTCTCGCAGCATGCCCATTGCCAAGGTGCATGTAACCAGAGCAGCCTGATCAGAATACCATGGGTAGCTATAAATGCCAGGGGGCAAAGAGACACGGTGTCCTCTGAGAATCTGGGAACTTCCAGTCCTCTACACCGAGAAGCCTGGGCCTGCAGCAGGCATCAACACGAGCCCCCACCACCTTTCAGCTCCCTTCACATGAGCTCGAGGTTTGGGGCTCTGCAAAGGGAACAGCTTCAGTGCCATGCTCGGGAAGAGAAAAGAAGAGCAAAGCAACAAGAAATGATGCGGCAGCTCTTCAGAGCGCTCCACCATCCTTTTCCCTGACAGGTCTCTGTCCCACAGCCGAGTGGATTATCCTTGGGAGCCGAGCACCCGGTCATTCATTCCAAGCTCCAAGTTGCTGACCTTGAGCCGATTCCAGATTAACAGGCAAAAAAAATCACACCTACCGTTTCATATCCTGGCATCTTGTCACGCCTCAGCCGTATTTGTTGCTAGCAAAGCCATGAGGCAGACTGGACCTGGGGACTCCAGACAGCAGGGCTGATCTGCAGTTATAATTCCTTTGTGGTGAGAAGGGAAGTCGCACTGAATTCTGCAAAGTCAGCCCAAGCTACAGCAGATAAGCAGTCAGTGACTTGCTAGGAGCACAAGCCATTAGATACCAATATCCTGCAGTAGTTTCCAGGCCCCCTCTTTTAGCACAGTGGTAGGAAGCAGGTGTCTGAAGTGCTGCTACTAGCTGGCAGGTCAGTGTGGAACTAGTGAAAGGAGGTGGGAAGGGAGGGGGCTCCTCTGGCGGGATGTAAAGGGTGGCTAGAAACGGGTGACAAAAATGCAGTGTGGGAAGCAGAGGGGCTTTGGAGACACCACTCGTCTTGGAAGCTGCTACCAAGTCACACTGCTACGTACCAGGGGAAGCAGTTCTGAAGACGGACTCGGTGGAGCCCAGAGCCAAGTGTTCACAGGGAGCCCAGGAAGGGGCAAGCCCAGTGATTTATTGAAAGCGACTCTTTCTATACGTGCAGCATAAAACCCACCTGGCCGTTTGCTCAGCGTGCAGCTGGGAGCGTGCCGACAAACGGGGGAACCCTCCATCTGCCGAGGAGGTGGCAGCCAAGTCAGAGGCAGGGGGTTTGGCACACAAGCAGTGCTGCTGCTTCATCCACCTCGCTCCTGCGGCAGGGAAGGGATTGCGGCTGGGAAGCCCCTGCCTCCGTGTGCATTTCGCAAGCTGGGTGCACCTGCACCCTGGGAGTCTGCAGAACTGGAGAGAAACGGGCCGCCTGATGTTACAGGGACAGCCAGCAGCTTGCTCCAGCTGGCTCAAGAGAAGATACCTCATTTCTGGGACTCACGTGGGGCTGAGGGGAGCAGCACTCCCCTGCTTCGTGCAAATGACTGGGACAAGATGGAGAAACCAAGGCACTAAATCTGGAAGCACAGATGCTTTAGGTTACACATGAACAGCGATGCCATCAAAGGAGTGAATACCTTTTTGTTATCCCAGCTGGACTCCAGTTACAAAGGAAACCAGGACAGTGACCACACAAGCCACCATCAGAAGCACTCGTCATCTTCCATCCAGGTCTTCCACCGTTACTTGTGCGTGCAAAATAATTTAGCTAAGTGCATTTGGAGTTGATACCGTCACTGCTCTGCTGTTTTGCATGGGTCTATGAATGGGGTGGGGAACTCCGGGGTGGGCGTTGAGAGCAACATCGTGAAGTCTGAACAGAGCCTGACCGTGTCCAGTTATGCAAACTAGGACCTGAAATTCACTTTGTATCCGAGTGCAATACGGGGCCTTAATAATATACCTGGGAGACCTCGATGGGGAGGGGAGGGCGGGGTTTGCTTAGTTTACTGTAGTTAAATTAGAATTGCATTTACTATGCAAGGCTCTGGTCAAGTGTGTCTGACCCAAAGTGGGGAACCTCCTGTGGGGCAGAGGGGTAGAAGCCAGCCCCCCCTCGCCCCACCCCACCCCACAGCCTGCACTGCCACGGGCACCTGGATCCAGCAGCATGACTCCGGCCTTTTAAACAACAGAACGTGCAGCTAGTGGCACCTCCAGGGAGTCTCACCAGCCCCACGGAGAAGGGGTGTCTAGGCTTTCACGGCCACGGCACTGAACTTGTAGAGGGGTTCAGTCTGCTAATCTGAGGCAGGATAGATTTGCACCTTCTAGACTAAATCAGAAATGAATGGCAGGGCCTCAAACGTGCAGGGAGATGACCACCCGCCTCCCCCACAGGAAAGCTGGGGCAGGACCAAGGCTAGGAACCTTGTGCATCACGCGGTCCGTGAGGCTTGGAGGGGTCAGTTAGTGCAAGGAGGGAGCTGCGTGCACAGTCCTGAAAGGATTCAGGTGGACAGTGGCACTGATGCTTGACACCCCCTACGAAGCCCTATTACACAGCCATGCATCTCCCCCCAGCAGGATGGGGCTTCTAGGCTTTCACAGCCACGACACTGATCTTGTAGAGGGGCTCGGCGTGTTAACGTGAGGCAGGCAGAAGGCAGGGTAGGTCTGCACTTTCTAGACTAAGTAAATCAGAAGTGTAGAGCAGGGCCTCGAGCTCACTTCCTCAGCTGCTGTGAACACGTAGCCTCTGAGCCACCACTTACTGCAGGAGTTACTGGTGTGGGTGTGCTGCGCTGCGCTGCATGGGGAGGGGAGGGGAGGGGAGGTCCAGGAGCAAGACACGGGTCTCCTGCCTGAAGTGAACTTCCCGGTTACAGGCCAAGAAACCTTCCTTTACTTCTCTCCTAGCTCCTCCACTGCCCTTTCCTCAGGTTTTTGGCCCAAGAGCCAGGATTGAGCAGCAGGAGAGAAGCCGGGTAGGGGAAAGCGTGGGAGCAAAGTCTCACAGAGAGAATGGAGAGACACTGAAGGGATCCTGGATTAGCTGTTTTGTTTCAGGTCCAGCTTGCCAGGTACCTGAAGTGGCAGATTTATTTCATGGACACAAGAAGGCAGCAGGCCTTTCTTGCAGCCAAAGCAATGGATCACAAGCCAGGAGATCTGCTCCCATGAGAGCAGGCAGAGGATAGGCAAACCAGGGCAAGGACAGAACCAGTCCCAGAAGACTGTTCAGGTAAGAGAAAATCCAAGGCAGGCGAATGGGAGCTGTTGGGTAACTCTCTCAAGCTGCTCTGCAATTCCAGCTGGTTTCCCACTCCCCGCCAGCAAGCCGGAGCCAGCCGGCGCATGGGAGATTTCTTGACAGCAGAATCCATTCCCTGCCTCAGTCACTTGGAAGCAATCGTAAAGGTTATGCTCGTAGCAAGCACGGCTCGGATCGCCCTGCTCCGCTGCGCTGTTACCCACCTGACGGCAAACTGCCCAGGACAGCAGCTCTGGATGGCACGGACTGACCATTCATCCAGGTGGGGATAATTTAAAACCAGATTAAATACGACAGATTAGGCTTGCAACATCTGCCGAGGCCAAAGCACACAGGATGGCAGGGTTTCCGTTTTAGGGTTTTATTAGTAGTTCTTTCTGCAGAATCAAAATATTTAGCAAATTACTTTAAAGGATTCATCAAGACTGTTTATATTTTATGTATGTCGATTTTTAACAATGTACAACATAATACACTTTGTACTATCAAAAACAAACCCCAAACTGATTTCTATTACTAGATGTTAGAGTATGTAATTCTACAGCAGTGTGAAAGAGAATGGGACTACCGCAGTGAGTATATTGTTTTTAAAGAAAGTGCTTGAAAGAAACCTCCTGCTTCACACTGAATATTATTTAAAAAAATTGATTTCCTAGAAGGGCATTTGCTTAAATAACCTACAAACCTGGGGGATTGAGAACAGAGCCCCAGCTCTCACCCCATCAGTTCGGGAACCAACCGCTGGTCCAGATCCAGGTGGAGTTCACAGCTCACCTGTTCGGACAGAAATCACACACCACTCAAGCATTGGAGACTTCTGCTCAGCAGAACTGGTTGCTGCCAGGGCCAGAAACAACCCCCAAAAACCCAAGAGGAGGAGGAACAGCTTCTCTTTTTGATGCATAGTGAGAGTTTAGGAACCAGTGTTTCACTAAGTTGCAGACTAACTTTCAACCCAAAATAATCAAGGGAAAGACCCACTGCACTCAAGGTCAAACTCCAGTCAGACTGCGATAGTCAGTGCTCCAGTACAAGCAGACACCGTGAAAGCAGCTTCAAAGAACCAAAGCATCCTAGTTTCAGAACCAACTTTGAATTCCTGTCCAAATCCAGTGCAACGAAAGGAAAAAAAAAAATCCTAGCTGTCTGACTATGTACAGTTCCAGTAGAGGTCGGGCAGTCTAAGCTCTCCGTGGCCAAGCTGGAAAAGGAAACTTAGGAAAGGGCACTTAAAAATTTACTTAAAGAAAGACAGTTGGCTCCCGGCAGCGGGGAGAGCGCTCTGGAGTGACGCGCGCTGGGCTCGCTCGGCCGTACTCTCCAGTGGACGTGGCAGGCAGGGCAGGGCTTCCTCCCAAACAGCAAGTCACTCTCCGGATGAGGTGGCAGGGGTCTGGTGACAGGGGCTGGCCTACTCCCCCAGGAGGCACGCTCCGTTACGCTCCTGGAAGCCAGGGATATGTTTTCAGCTGGCTCCTGCACGGGCCATTAGATCTTCCAAAGCATTGTCCTGGTCATTGTTATGTAATAATAAGACCTCCTTAATGTCTTTCACTTCAAAGCCCATTTCTTGAAATTTACTCATTAGCTGGAGAAGTTCTGTCGTCTAGAAAAGACAAAGAGAGACGGTCAACGTTGGGAGGAACAGTACAGTTTAAGGAAGCACTTGGCTTTGATTTGGGCGATACTCTCAGGTCCTGAGAATAGTGCTGAGCCCGTCTCCAGACACGAGCTAGAACAAAAAGGTCAATCATCACTTCGTTCCCAGAGGCACGAGCTTAGGGAGTTGGAGCTCCATTCGCTGGAGAACTCGCACCCAACAGCGCGGCGGCTCTTCGCCGAAGCCAGTGGGCAGTAAAACGGCCACAAACACCTCCGCAGCCTACAGGGCACGTTAGACATCCCAGCCTGCCAACCAGTGTCTGGACCCAGGCGGGCTTCAGTTCAAATAGCCCCCAAGACCCTCTTCTCAGAGGCCACCCAGCAGACCTCCCCCCCTTGCATGTCTGGCCACTGGTATTACGTGAGCTGGACAGGACCAGTCTGGAGTGGCCAGGGGCGTCCAAACCCTTCCCCCTTTGCTTGCAATTTTGTAGCAAGGAATGAAGTGACCACATTTGCTTAGAAGGTGAAAAGGCGCTCGGGGCTGAGCTGGGGAGTCCTTGTAACGGCCCTGGCTGTCACACGGCTCTCAGAAGTTGGTGGGATTGGCCCCCTTCCGGAGCCTAGGTTGCTATTCGCCACTGCATCACCCCAGCAGGGACTCCTGGCCCAGTAACTCCCCTGCTCTCCTCCACCAGACTGCAGCCTTCCTTCAAGTAGAGGTCCCAAGGCAGGGACTGTTTCCAGGGCCTGGGTGAAGCCATTAGCGACAAAGTTTGTGGCCAGCGCTTCAGGAGGAACCGAGCAGTAGTTTGTTCCTGAAGCAAAGGCCACCCACCCCAGCTCTCCCCTGCTTGCCCCTCTGGGAGCCCGTCCTGCCCAGGCACCCTGCTAAAGCCCAGGGAAGAGGTGGGGAGGCAGCATGGAGCAGCAGAAGCGTACATGCGTGGCCGGGAGGGACCAGCTGTCTGTATGCAACACCTGGATGGGGACAGGCAGAATGCCCAAAGCTCACGTGAGGGTACAATCCTGCCCTAGATGCATGTGCCAGGATCTTTAGAGAGAAATAATCTTTGCAACCTGGGCAAGGAGGCCAGCTTTGCCCAGCAAGCATTAGCAGGACGGCTTTGCTCCCTAGGGTCTGGCGTTATAACAAATGTCTGAGATCTGCTGCAGCTGAAATCAGCCCTCTGTGACGAGCTCTGCCAGAGCCTCGTGAGGCAGCTGGAGCGGGCGAGAGGCTCAGCTGACATGAACATGGTGCAGCAGCAAAGCAACTACTGAACCAGGGCAGGACTGCTCCTGAGCCAGAGGTTCTCCGTGCGGTTACTTCCACGGGCAGAGGCACGGTCTGGAAATCACCACCAAAGAAAATCCTTCTGCACAACAGCCTTCCCCCTTCCCGCTCCCCCCGCACCCTTACTTCCCTCTCACCCTGTGCCAAGACAGCCTCACCTTTTCCTCTGAACACTGGTGCATTTCCAGAGCTGCTTCGACCAGCTGGGGATCAAAGCCCTTCTCGCACAGCTGCCCGTGTGCAAACAGGTAATCCAGAACCTGGGGGGAGAGAGCAGGGTCAGCGGAGCGGCCCCGGGTACGTGGCGACCCGAGGGCCACGTCATGTCTGAAGCGCAACAGCCCTGGGCCAACATGCTCCTTTGTCTCGTTGCTTGTGACCCCCGAGCTTCTCGCCTGCAATTCTCTACACATAACGCCCGTATTAGACGGTGCCAGGCCCCGAGGCAGGCCAGGAGAATTAGCTTTAAGTCCAAGATTCAGTCTGCCAGCAAACGTGGCACCACATTTGGGGCCCCTCCACCGGGCAAGGGCTCTCACCTGGTCTATGCTCCGTCCTTTCTTCTTCATAGCTTTCATGACGTCCTCGTAAGAGTATCCCATGTTGACAACCATTTCTACGCATTGCCTTTCACTGGGAGACAGGGCCTGCGGGAGCTCCGAGGAAGCAGAGCCACTGGACCATTTGGTGCAGCTGGTGTTGCTGGGCACTTTAGACACGGGGAAGTTTTGGTGCGTTACCTAGTAGTGGAAAACCAAGTACAAGCCTTAGTGCGTTGAGCTGGCCATTCCCTTCCCGGGCAGAGGCAGGACGATCTGCTCCCTGCAGCCTTCTCGAGGGCTTTATCTGATCTTGCTTTAAAAATTAACTGAGCAGCGGAGCTTCCCCGTTTGCTCTGGGAAACTCCGCTGTCGGGATGAACCCGCCAGCACAGCAGGGATTTGGGATAAACACATTCCTTGAGGCAACCCCCTCTTCCTCGCTCTACTCGGTCATCGGCAGGCAGAGAGATGTAGTTAGCCGCGTTAGTTTGAAGCCAGGCAGAAGGCAGGGCAGCACCTTATAGACTAACTCATGCAAACAGGCATAGCTTTTGCAGGTGACGACATACTTAGATGCTCCAGCATCTGTCATCTATGAAAACTTATGTCTCTCTGAACAGTTCAGTCTCTCAGGTGCCACCCTGCCCTGCCTTGTACTTTAATAACTAGAGAGAGGAACCAAGTGTGGCCCGAGTTTAACGGCAGCTCATACTTGCTTAACTCATGCGACAGCCGGCCAGGGAGCAGCAGCGTTGGGTTATAACGAGACCGAGTCATTGATGAAATAAACGGACAACTCTCATCCTTAAGAAGAAGGTTAAGCAACATGCAACATCCCTCGTGTCCTGGCAGGTTACTGGGCCTCCTACACACATGCCATTCACCTCCTCCATGCAAAGGAAGGCTCCCAGAACACGGCTCCTTCCGAAACACTATGCAGCACGCTCGTGGGTGATCCGGGAACTTACCACAGGGAGCTCCGTCTCCTTGTAGTCCGGGTGTACCTAGCAAACAAGACAGAGAGGAGAAGATGGATGGGCTGTGCACTACACTAGCGGGCAGAGTTCACAACGAGAGGGGAGCAGGAGAGCTACTCATGGAAGAGCGCAAGAACGGTCATCCTAGGCCGCTGGCTGGACGCACCAATGACGAGGAGAGGTAAGAAACCCCATCACGCGTCCCCACCGAGCACTCTCACGGGTTTCTTTCCAACCCCAGCGCATGGCTTCTGGCCCAAAGTGGGAGGGAGAGTTCACGTCTCTTGTGAGCGTGAGTTTGAAACGTTCTTAATCTAATGTACCTTGGGGTGCTTGTTATCCGAGCCAGCAACTCGTACCAACAACCTCCTGAGCAAGGTTTGTGCTATACAAGGGGCATTTCCTTCCCCGGGTTTCAAGTCAGAATCACAGACAAGGAGGGTGGATGGGAGCGCAGGAAGTCACATCTATCCAACCCCTGCTCCAAGAAGGACCAGCCCCAGCTACATCATCCCAGCCAGGGCTTTGTCTACCCGGGGCTTCAAAACGACTTAAAAAGTTGTTGCCTGTTAAGGCGTCCTCTGTGTTTTGCATTATGAGAGACGGAGAAGCATCTACCGCTGCCTTCTCTACTCCACGAACCACTCTCCTCTTCATCTACCATGTCAGTCTTTAAAAGCTTCCCCAAATTTTTCTACTTTTACGACCTGGAGGCCTACCCAGGGTTTGGCCAACTTTTGTAGCCCATCCTCAAACCCTTTGTTTCTGCTCTCTTCTTGTTCAGAAAGCATCCAAGTGAGAGAATGACTTCTACCATAATATAATATTTTTACGCCCATCCATTCTCAGTACGCTGCAGCAAGGCTGCTTGTCCACGAGGCCCAGGGAAACTAGCCACTTACTCCTACTCGACTCCATTTCTAAGCCTGTTTTCAGCCTTTCCCCATCCCAGCATCCAGAAAGTAGCTTTGGGTTTCCCTGCACTGTTTCAAAACACCCACTGGACCTCCATTCGCTTGACCGGCAGCTTGAGTGGCCAAGGAGCAATCGTCTATCAAATACCAGGGACCGACAAGCTGTCCTTCCACACCGTCTCCGACTATTTTGGGTCGCACCCCCCACATTCAGTTTGCTTTGTTTTGTGCCCCGCTGGGATTCTGCATTACAGATGATGAAAAGGCACCCCTCACATTCGCTGCGCCCACCTTGTAACCTCACTGCCGCCCTTCCAGGAGAGGGGAAATCCTTTGCTTCCTTCTCACCCCACCTCTTGAATCCCCTCCACAAGTTTGCCACGGACCCCGGCTGGAGTAATGCTGCTCCGGGCCAGATTATTTAAAGTTTCTCTCCTGTTTCACGCGTGCTGTACAAAGGGGCTTCTTCCCCAGTCAACTGATAAAGCTTAAAAAAGAAAACAAGCGTGCCTACTGAGACGTGGTAGAGGGTGCTGGGAGTGGGCCCTGAGGAGGATGCCCCTGCCTGAGCTCCCTCCGGAGGAGCTCCAGCAGCTCTCCCTTCGCTGGTGAAGTGCAGTGTGCAGAATGAAAGAAAACGGAGTAAAGCTGAAGCGTGCTTGGCTAGACACAGCACCGTGCCCTGGACGCCCCCCAGCCCGTGCTGCTGTGCTAAAGCCGGCAGCGGCCCTGGGCTGCATCTGACCCACGCTTCAGCCACTGCTGATTTACCAAAAAAAGCTCACAAAAAGCCTTTAAACAAGAAAGGCACCGAGCAGCACCCAGATCACAGTTTAGTTTCACTTCGCTTGCTCTGAACGAACCGTTCCAGCATCAGAAAAGCCCCAAGAAAATTCAGACTCCACCGCTTCAGTGCTGGTATCACTTCGGCGTCCGGCTGGGCAAATAATGGAGTCTCTGGGTCACTGGCCATATCGGGAGAAACCATTTCAGTTTGGGCCCAGTAGATCTGGGTCGAGACAATTTGCACCACTTGAAAATGCTATTTTAGTCCTGGGAAAGAAAACCGCTCCACAAGAGACGCTGGGAACTGAACCTTGGAAACGTTCGGGCCTTTTCGAAACGCAAAGCCCTGCCGAGGTATTTTTACAGATCAATTCATGTCATAACAATTGAGCAGGAGATGCGGGAACCGTCCTGGCATCATCGTATCTGCATGTTCTGCTGAAAGGAAAAGCTTCTCCCAATTTAATGTCAGTGCTGGCCAGACGGAAGGAGTCTCTTCTGACGCCAGTCGCTTAGAGATAACTCGGTATCTGAACGTGTGAACTGCCTCCACCCAGACGGCTGCTCTCAGAGCAACAAGCACAGGTACCGCTGCTTTCCAGCCAAGCCCCCGGGCACTGGATGTCCCGGTACCACCTAGTTTGGGGGCAGAAAGCATTGGCGCTCTGGCGTGTTCAATGGTTAGCAGCAGCTTAGGACACACCATCGATACGGCAGCAGACTGAGGCTTCTCGGATCCGCTGTAGCCACGCAGACCAATTCCAGGGCTCAGGGGACTGGCTCTTCGCATAAAGTCCTGACCACATCCATTCGGCAGCCTTTCCCCTAGTCTGGGGGGTAGTGGGGGAGATTGAGAGGGGCCCTCTGCCGACTGCTGCCGCCAGGGCATCCCCGCCCCGAGCCCACCAACAGGTCCTCGCTTCCCAGATACTACCAGGACAGCTCCAAAACGCGAGAGCACGTGGACTGCAACCCCTCATGCAAGAGGCCTCCCCTCAGGTGTGGAGCAAATCCCAAGCTACCTTGAGGAGCAGCTAAGAACAGCTCGGCTCCGTCCTGCAGGGCTGCGGAGGCAGTCCTTAACGCCTGGTCTCGCCACCTACGAGACAAGCCCTGGAGAGCCCGAGCTGTGGAAGTCAGCCCTGCCCACCTCCCTTGGGCCAGCCCTGGGGAAGCCCCAGCCTGGGGCCTCAGCGGGGGCTCACGCACCACTCGTGGCACAAGCGAGAGCCCGAGAGAGCGACTAGGAAGGAGGTTCGCCCGCAACGCGGCAATGGGGTTTCTATCCCCGGCAAAGAAGGAACTAAAAGGAGGACGCTAGGATTTTAAGGAACGGAGCAGTAACAGAATGACTGTCAAAGAGCCACTGGGCACAAGCACCAGCTCGCACGCGCCTCCGCCACAAACCTGCACCAACAGTGCATTCCTGGGATCCTGGCTTGGCTTTTTCCCTGCAGACATTTTGATCCAGTACATGTCCTGCTACTGCCTGAATGCCTGCAGGCCAGAAACCTCATCCATCATCACGCAGACAGCCCACCGAGCAAATCAACATGCACAAATTCGGCACGTGCTACTGTATCTTGGCAGCTCTGCTCCCCATCCCACAGCAACCAGTCTCATCAGCCGTTTCCTCATTTCTCTTTCTGCACCAACCTTGCATGGCCTGAATGCGGAGGTCAGTATAAAGCACTCAGTGCAGAAGAGGAAGAGAAAGCACCTTCTACAGCAGGAGGAGCTTGTTCAGCATCAGGGAAGTCTGGTTTTTAAAAAGGGTTATTTGCTCAAGTCTCTCTGGTAGAAGAGAGAGCAAGTCAACGTGGAACAGCCGACGAATCCACACCGATCAACCGACCGCATCCTGGAAGGGTCAGACTTGTCCAGCCCAAGACTCGGAGGTTCAGGCAGGGCCCTTTTCCTTCTATTCCCAACCACCCGGGACACTCGGCTGCAAGCGCTACCCGAAACCCCTCAGTCATTCCTACAGCCCCTTTCCTGACACTCGGGATCTAACTCTGCATCCAGTGACATACAAAATAGCTTCCAAACTCACCAAAAATACATCCCCACCCCCAAGCCCTTGAGACCACAGCACAGAAACCAGAAGCCGTCTCCTGGGTATTGTCCAGACTCTTAGAAAGGGAAGGGACGTGTTAAGTTAGCAGATTATTTCCCAAGCGCACAAATATTTTGCCCAAGAGAAGGTTTGTTCCAGGCCAGTCCCAGAGGATGAGAGCTCAGTCCCCCTCTCCCTGTAAGTGTCCAGGCTGGGAAGCTTCCTTTGATCCAACTGTCGAGCTGCCCTAGCTCTTGCTCCCTTGCAGCCTCTCCCCCTGGGTGCCTTGCAGGGAGCTCCTAGCCCAGCTGGGCCCAGGGATGGCAGCATCCCCGCCCTAGCTGCTACCAGAGCTGCGTTCAGTCGAGTCTCTGCTGGTATCCAGGTCCCTATAGCTACATACTGCTCAGCTGTGGGTCAAAACACTTATCACGATCACGAGGTCTGATGAATGAATAATGCCCCCAAAGCACCATTCTGAACGGCAGCAGGGCAGTGATGGACTGGACACTTCTTTTCTTGCCGTCTGCTTTCAGCCTCTGGGCAATTCTGTTTCTACTGCCAAATGCAAACCACTTCCTGCGCACCAGAGACGAGTTCATTGTGAAATACCAGGGCTCTGTGCTAGTCCCACTGGGCTGATCCTCCAGGAAGATTCACAGCCTTGGTTTCAAGACTGTGCAGACCGCAGTGCAATGAGCACAGAGCCGGGCACCCTCTTCCTGCACCGCGCTCTGCTCTGGGTGGGGGCCATGGCATGTATTCGGCGGCACCAGGCATCCCCAGGCAGCCTCGAATCTCTCTGAATTGATGTCCCATTGAAACTCCCGCACCGGGACAGGTTTCAGGCTCCCGCTCTGACACTTTCAGGGCTGCCTATGGACCTGGGATGTGCCGTTTCCATGGGTGGGGCAAATCTTACATTCTTTGGAAAAAAAAAAAAAAAAAATGTATCTCAGCCTACATGTCTGGGAGGTCCTGAGGGGGCAACAGGGTTAAGCAAAGTACGGTTCTTTGAGAACCCGCAGCACAGGCAACACCGGGCTTCTGCAATGTACTTTTTCCAAGCTGCTTTACAGTGCCAGGCAGCAGCCATTACAGTCCTGTTGGTCCCACAGAGCAAGGTCTAGACTGAAGGGCTGGAAGGGGGACATCTAGTCCAACCCCACACACGCAGAACTCGCTGCTCCCAAACCATCACGCAAAGCTGCCTGGCCAGCCCCTGCTTGAAACCCTCCGGGGAGAGAACTCCCCGTCATCCTGCAGAGCTCCGCTCTCCCCTGCTCTAACACGGAGGAAGTTTTCCTTGGGATCTGCTCTCAAGGTGCATCGCTGTAATGGATACCTGGGGCTGCTTGGGCACCCATTCAAGCTTGCTCCTAAAGGCAAGAACCAGATGTCAGAGCAGTGTCATTTTCACTTATAAAAAAAAAAAAAAAACCAGAGGGGATGCAGATGGAAAGAATACGAGCAATCAACCGTTCCCCCTGCGGGAAGGGTCGCTGTGAGCACACCTTGCTGCAGAGGTGCGCAGGGGGACATCTGCTTTGCTTTGGGCTGGTCTTAATCTGTGGAGAGGCTCCGTCTGTCCCCTGAGCTGCAAGCCTTATCGCTTAATTCATCTAAAGCACTGGTTCTCAACCTTTTTTGTACCAGGACCCATCTGTAAGCATCAATGGCCAGTCCTGACCCAGTGCCCCCCACCCCCGGGCCCCAGCCCAGCCAGTATGTAGGGTGGGGGGAGAGGTGTCCCAAGCAGCCCCTCGCAGACTGCCAGCCTGCAAGGGAAACACCACGGTTCCCCACATTTTTCTCCTTTGAAGAAGAACCCATCTTTAAAGTTTGCTCACGACCCGTTCATATAGTCTTGCGACCCCCTTTTGGGTCACGACCCACAGGTTGAGAAACGCCAATCTAAAAAGTGTGCCGCGTGGGAGTGCCACATGTCACCAACTATCCCCGTCGTATCCTACATTTCTTGAACCAGGCCCAATTCCAGCTACTTGCCAGGAGCTGGGGAAAACTTAGTTGCCCTAAAAAAAAAAAAAAATCAGATTGCAGCTGTCTCAATCCAGAACAATGGCATAGTCTTGGGAGGGAGGGGGAAATAACTCCCCAAATTCAGCGCTACATATGGATCTGATCAGTTTGAGTTAGCTACTGCACTGCATGCTGGGAACTGCAGCCCTCACTGGAATGACAGAAATCAAAGGGAAGCAGGGACTGCATTTTAAAAAGCCATCTATCACGTGGAGCCCTCAAGCTGACGGCCCCAGGTTCCCCTGACCGTGTTAACATCTTTACCGTGGTTGCTGTGGGCTGAGACGTCTGTTCTTCCGTACAAACTGATGGCCCAGAGAGGGAAGGCAGCCTGGATGAAGAGGATATTGTCGACGTCTCCATGCCACTGTCCACATTTAAAGCAGAAAGACCCACCACGTGATGTCCGTTCAGTTCGCTAGCTCTGCTCTGAGCACAGCTCTGTAAAGAACCAAGGAAAGTGCCGTTGCGGAGACAGGTAGTGCTGTGGAAAGTGCTCGTGAGCTTCGAGGGTTTTTGATCGCTCTCGTCAGAGTCGAGTTTGGGAAAGGAGAGAGATTTGATATTGCTCACTGACGTGATAGGGGAGAGGGACACTTTGGAAGACAAGGACATCTTTTCACAGTTTCCCAACTGTGGTAAAGTAATAAAGCCATTCGGTTTGTGAAGGGGCTTGAAGTCCAAGGTGGCCCTTTCTATGGATGCCAGAACTTCTGGATCTTGTAATACAGATTCAGGCCCTACTTTGGGGAGGCCGCTGTCCAAGAGCTGGGCCACGATTGGCCCAGTAGTACCGACGTGGATTTCAAGGATATTTTTCAGCTCCTCTTTGTCATCAATGGTTTTTAATTCCAGTTTGTCAAACGGGTCTTCTTCACATTCGAAGTCTGCTGGGTTGAAATCTGCCTTTGGGTAGGGCGGACTAAGGGCCTTCTGCTTTATGGCACTGCTGTTGGCAGGGGTGGGGGTGAGAATGTTATTGTGCTGCAGACTAGCAAGAATGGGGTTAAAGGGAGGGGGCAGCGCCCCCGGGCAAGGTCCCTCAGAGAAGCCCATTTTGCTGTTGTCCTCTGAAGCGGCCTTTGAACGAGCTATTTCTACCTCAGCCTTCTGTTCAGCTTCTCTCTGAGCTGCTTGGATTTTTTTAATTTCTTCGGCCCACTCCATGGTTTTCTTTTCCAGGGAGAAGTCATACTGCCAAGAAAAACAAGAAACGAGGGTAAGGAGCACAGTCATTGCTTTCTAACAGCAACACCATCTTACACGCAGCGAGGAACACAGTGACAGGTTAGATGCATTACCAACGCGTTAGCGCTGGTAAGGGTTGTTTCTCTTCTCTTACATCTCTGTTGCTAATCCAGAGAGAAAGAAAACTAGCAGGGCGCCAGATGGCATTCATTACGCCTCTAACAGCTAACCCTGCCTATACCCCGGGAGCACAGGGTATTCCATCTCTTTCTTATCGTTCTGCTTAAATGTCGTTAATCAAAGTTAAAACACCGCCACAGCATCCAACTCCCACAGAAAACTGACTGCAGGAACACTTTCAAAGGCACTGCTGGATGAACGATCTCTACTCCAGTTTGCAATGGCAGTAAATTGCCTCCAAGATCCCCTATTGAACTAGCCACAAACAACTAAAGAACAGGAAAACTTCTAGGTTTTTGCATCAGTAAAACCAGTACGGAACTTCACGCCTCGCCTTGGGTGTTCAAGAGACCCTAATTTAGAGTTTAAGACCCGACAGAAGAAAGAGGTATTGATGTACCGACTGCATTTTACCGATGCTATGGCTGGAGCCGGTCACGCCGACTGGCAAAGGAAGTGACATCACCTCTGGCTGTTTGTCTGCATCTCTGCAGAAGCAGGTCATTGCCAAGATTGCTGGTATGACGAGTCTCCTCCCCGCCCTCAAGCCTTTCACACTTTAATAGGATTTTTTCAAGGGGACACTGGCCCACAGGTCAACCTTGTACACTGGTTTGGGGTGGATTGTGCAGGACAAGAGAAGGCGGCACAGGATAGGGCTGCACAGTCTAACTGGTCTTAGTCTTTCAAAATGCAGAGCTCTAACCTTCTGTACAAGAAACGCGGCCAAGTTCACGGCCATTTGGGAGAAGCCACAATGCATTCTGCACATGGATGTTCACTGTGAGAAACAGATGCTTAAGCAACGATCTGCCCACTGGTGTATCACTGCAATGCCTGACACACCGAAAACACACAGGACCAGCGCTAGGCATATCCTCTCATGCTGTAAAGGCAACAGGAAATGGTGCTTCTCACACGCCCTGGTGTCCTTGGACCACATAGCAGTGGTCATGATCAGGCGTCGGATGTGCGCCTCTCCGCTGACGGAGGAGAAGTAGCACTATCTTTGGTGCTAGTGATATCGCGGCCTCTGGTAGCCTAACAGTTTAGATCAGCTTGTGGAAAATAACCATGGCACCTAAGGCTGCCTAGACACGTGCTTGGGCTGACGGGGGACATTTTAATTAGAGTGGTTCCCAGAGAGCCATTCTAATTAAAATGCTGCAAATTCACATGTATTAACGCCCCCGCGTGTTTAAAAATGGCCATGGGATGCTCTAACTCAATCACATTCAACAAGCTTTAGTTAAAGCACCCCAGAGGCCATTTTTAAACCCACAGGCTAGGGACAGATGTTACACATAAACCGGTTTAAGCGATCAGGAACTGGTTTAAACCTGTAACAGAACCGATGTTCAGTGCACATAAACCAGCTTCAAAATAGCCGAAACTGGTTTGAGATAAACCTGGCCGAATGTGGTGCCAGACTGAACTGAGCTGGGTCAAGCCGGTCTGCGCAACGTCTGTACACACGTGATGCTGCGGCAATGCTAGAGCGTTCCAGTTAGAACACGGGACTCGATCAACAGAGTCTGCTCTGGTTTTCTTGGGGCCGCGTAGAGATCCAGATCTGAACTGGCATGCTATGGAGATTGCCATCTTCGACGGAAGGTGGACTGCAAGGAGGGTCATAACTCCAAATTTAAGCCACAATCCAATTAGCGCGGTCGTGTTCTGGGTCTACATTTCCAAACAATGGGCAAATAAAGTTTTTAAAAGTGAGGCTGTTTAATCAATTGATTTCCTGCTAACTGAAATGTTAAGGCAACTTAACACCCCGAAAGACAGTGAAGAGATTTGTCTGTCAAGTTACATTAACAAAGCTTTGCCAGAAGGCTAGATGAGTAAACTCCTGGTCAGAAGCAAACAGCAAGCAAGAGCTGGAAGTGCATTTCTCCATCCAATACAACACATGTGGAGAATGCCAAGAAGTCAGGCAACACTGGCATGAAAATGTACAAAAAAGATCTACTCGCACGTAAGTGTTATGCAGTTACACTGTCTAAAAGCAAAACCAATTCCCTGCTTCTCCAAAGGGATTTCCTAGGAGCACCATAGGACTCCGAACTCTAATTCAGCTGTTCGCGTAATTTTTTTTTAAATTTAATATTGATTAATTAAGGTTGTTTTGACTTTTTACACTAACATGTTCTACTTTTTGAAGTAAATCTTAACAACTTTAGCTGTATCAAAGTCCACTCAGAAATATTTATGAGCTCTCTCACAATTGTCTTATCCCTGTAATTCACTGCAAGTAAAAAGCCAAGGAAATTTCAATTTGAACCCAGAGGAAGAAAGCAGAGCTAACTTCTCTTTCCCACACATTACCATGGGTCCTGGCACTGAGTGGGAGCTGAGTAAGGCAGGAGAAAATATTCAAAACCTGAGCAATCCTAGAACTCAGCAAACACATGTTAATAAACTGCAGCAAACATACATGCGTGTCGTGAATCTGCACAGACCAAGTTCGCAACATGCCAAAAATTGATATAAAAAAAAAAGAAAAGGAAAAAAATTAAAAGCACACTTACCTGAGCTTCTCTGACAAGCTGGGGAGAATCAGGCAAGCAGAAGCCAATGGGTAAACCAACCTTGGCTGGCGTTTTGAATTTGTCTCCTATCTTAAACGGGACATCGTCCAGGTAGCTGAAGGGCCCTGAGATGAAAAGCAGAAGTTAGAACCTATTATGCATTTTGCAGATTCACATTTCCCTGTTTGGGAGCCATTTTATTTCAACTTTGCTAACCTGGCTGTAAAAACTAAAATCACACTAAGATAGCCAGAAAAAGAAAAAAAAAAAATGCACTGAAAAAGGCATGCATTTTCTGCCCCATTTCCGTGCTTGAGTCAATTAGGTAGGGTTAAACTGTATTGGGTATTTGTAAAGATCAAAGTTCTTCTAATCTGGTTTCTTCTGGTATAGCAATGTGTTTATGAAGAGATCCCTCATTTCCAGGCAGACCCAGATGCACTCCTGTAGAGACTCCAGTATTGCCAACTCTCCTGATTTTTGGGGTTGTTCTTCAGTGCACACCTCTCTCTCTGCAGAGAGCCTGGCACACCTGGGTGGAAGCTCTCGGTGCTGCAGCACACAACAGGAAGGCTAGAACTACAGCTCTGTCTACAGACTTCCACAGTGGAGAAAAAATGAATAAAATGAACTTCACACACCAAAATAAAATCACCTTAATTAGGGAGACAGGGCTGGAAGGGATCTCGGCCCCTGCCGCCACAGATCGTTATCTGGAAGGGACAAGACAAGTGTTCGTGCTCACTGGGATTTTGCGTGCTGCAGAAGACGAGGCTGGAGGGTGCCGTCCCTGTCCTACAAGAGACACGGAGCTCCACGACGAACCTCCTGCACAGCTGGACCAAGAACCCACTACCGCATCCTGTCTCCCCGACTCACTCTCTGCCTTCGATAACCATCCCTAAATGCTTCCTGTGCTCCTCTGCTATCGATTCACCCACCAGAACTCAGCCAGCTGTCTCAATGAACAGGAACGCCGTCGTCACCAGGGGCCAAAAGCCCCCAGAGAGCAAAGACAAGTGACACATCAGGCTCTGCTCAGAAGTCCTGTATGAAACCCAGCTGCCTGCTGATGACCAGAGAGCAAGCAGCACTAAGGCCTGGTTTGCAGGGAGCTGCCTGGCCTGCTCAGGGCAGACAGCAGCTGCCCTAGGGAAGCCACCAGAGCACAGTCACATCCGCACAGCGCTGGCCCCAGCACCAGCACCAGCTGTGCTGGCCTGGGCACTCACTGCAGGCCAGTGCCAGTGCCAGGCCTCTCTCCAAGGGGTGGCATTACTGAACTGGCAAAAAGCACATGCTTTGTGCCCCAGGACAGAGAGGCCATGGACAGAGCTGAGAAGGGGGGTCCTGCTACCACAGGGAGGTGTGAATATAAAAGTGTGTGCACTACATACTATACAGAGCAGACAGCCACAGGCCTTTGCTGCGTTGCTGAAAAACACTGAAGAGTTTCTCACCTACTATAAAAGAGCTCCACTTGTGAAGCCATAATCCCAATATAGGGGAAACTTCCCATTACTCTGTGAAACTATAAGCAGGCCATTTTCTACATGAAGAACAAGGAAGCTTGAAGATAACTCTCGTGGTTAAGTGCCAAACACCACCACGTACTGAAGCAATTTTCTGACATCTGAGGAAGTGGCGACAACAGCTCTTGAACAATGTGGCAATGATACACCTCTGCAAGAGCAGCAGAGCACACCGAGCTCGGGAAAGGTAGCTCAACGTGCCCGTGGGAAGGGCGATACTTCCAGCAACCGCCACGTGCTTTGCATGCGAGCATCTAGCTCTGCAAATGGCATCACAGCACTGAGCTGGCTGGGCTGCTCTCCGAAAGGTGAGCTCAGAAGGTGGCTTCCTTGCAGCTCCATTGAACCAGTATCCCGCTTCACACCCTCTCAATAAAAGCCACATTTAAATTCCCACAAGCAGCA